AACTGCTGACCTTCTGATCGGCAAGTCTTAGGCTCTGTGGTTTAACCTACAGCGCCACCCGTGTCCCTTTCCAGGAGGGTTAGAACAACTTAAAATAAGTTAAGGCAACTGCGCTCAAGAGCTAAGGTGGGTCCTAAAACTTATATCCTCAACCGGTAGCTTGGCCAGTGAGCTGCATCTTCAGTACAGGAGGAAAGCTGCATAAAGGTGGTGCCAGGTGGGGAGGGATTTCCACAGCATTGGGGCTGCCATAGAGAACTGGGCGGGTGGTGGAACTACCAAGAGCCCCCACCAATCTTAATGCCCAAGAGGGTCCAAATATAAGGTGGCTGTGCTTCAGATACTGGAGCCTAAGTCGCTGAGGGCTAAATAAGGGAACGAACTGCTTCCACATAATGGCATTAGCAGGTAAATGGATCAGGCAGACCTGGATCTGCAATTTCATTTGTGCAAAGCCAAACCCTCTTCGCCCCTCCTGGTATCATGCATGGTGAATAGCGAGTGGGGTCACTCACTGCCCCCATCTCCTTCTTTTATCACAAGTGCATTTTCAGCCTCTGTGATATGTTCTGAAGGAGTGAGGTCTGTGGCAAGTCTTTGCGCAGCCAAGCCATCTGCTCCCCATCTTAGAGAGCAATTGGGCTCCAAAGGACAGTACGTGGGGGGTTTTTAATTAAAAAAAACCCCAAAACACCAAAAACTTATTGTATTTATATCTCACCTATTTCTCTAGGGAGGTTAAGGTAGTATAAACCTTTTAAGTGGGGATCTTTATCCCAGTCTGCATCTCTACTGGAACTATTTTTAAACACAGAATTGTGTTGTTTTTTAAATGTGCATTGTTTTATGTAGGGAACTGTTCTGTTTGTTTTGTAATTGTATGTTTTATTGTTGCGAGGCAACCTGGAGCCTTGTGGTAAAGGACGGTCAAGAAATTGAATTAATTAATTAAATAAATACTGTTGTTGTTGTTGTAAGGAGGGGAAATACAATTAATATGCTTTGCCATTGGAATTTGATCCATAAAACAAAAGCCAACACCCCCCACCCATACATAGAGATACTAGGTTATCGCAGGAGACTCCAAGGCCCAGCAGACCTTCTGAGGAAGAGCAGACTGAGAGAAAACCTCTTTGACATACAGTACTCTGTCTTTTCTTGTTTAATGTTCCTAGGAATAGTAGAAAGATAAGAAACAAGGGTTTGGGGAACAGATATCACAAATGGAGAGAGATCTGTTGGAATGTAATGTTAAAGTGCTGTCTAAAATGTATAAGTTATTATTGGACTGGGAAACAAAGGATGAGCAAGTAAAATCTTCAATGATACATTGGGCAATAGATATTGGTTATGATATGGAAGCATGGGAACGATTGTGGAACACGCATATAAAATTTACAGCATGCTATGGTTTCAGAGAAAACTATATGAAAATGTTATATAGAAAGTATCTAACACTGAGTAAACTGGCAAAAATGTATAAATCAAAATCAAATAAGTGTTGGAAATGCAAAGAGAAAGAAGGTACTTTCTATCATATGTGGTGGTCCTGGTTAAAGCTTGCTGGGAAATGATATATAATGAATTGAAAAAGATGTTTAAAATAACATTTGTAAAAATAAAATAAAAACAGAAGCTTTCCTTCTGGGAATTATAGGGGTTGAACTACCTAAACAGTATAGAAATTTATTTATGTATGCGACTACAGCGGCAAGAATGTTATTAGCCCAAAAATGGAAAGAAGAAGTCCCAATGAAAGACGACTGGATACAGAAACTCATGGGCTATGCAGAAATGGCAAAACTTACTGGAAAAATAAGAAATCAAGACAACAAACTTTTTATAAAAGAATGGAAATGGTTTACTGAATATGTACAAATAAATTGCATACAAATAAGGACATTGGCAGGATTATTGTAATGACCTGCAGTTTCATAAGAGTAAATAATTAAAGTAGATGAATAAAATAATAAGCTAATTCAGAATATGCAGGAAATAATAAATAGAAATTTAAGGAACCATAGAAAGAGGAGGAAGTCGAGTTTTGAAATCTTAAAATGCCTGTAAAACTATTGAAATGTATATAACTGAAAATTACATATATGTTTTTTTAATGTTCCTGGGAATAGTGTGGAATCATCCCCTATTCAACCTGCCTCATCTGTGACTCAACAAAGGAGTCACAGGAGAAGATGCTCAACTGAACAGAGTTATCCTTCCCTCTCCTTCCCTTCCTTCCTCTCTGTCTCTCCTCCTTCCTCCTCTTTTTCCAAATTTGATGCCCCGCCTAGATTTCCTCTCTGGTCAGGGTGAAGAAACCTCCAGGAACAAAGAAGTCTAATAAAAGGATGTACCCACATTTTTTGAAAGGTATAATTTATGGAACATAATTTATTCAATTTACAGTATATGGGATTATTTTTTACCTCATATATCTGAAATTTGTCCTACAGTGTGGAATGGGTTTCTGTTGCTTAAGCTTAATTTGTTCCCACTTATCGTAATACATTATTACTAACTTCTTAGGATTAGCTCCAAGACTGCCTATTTCCCCCCCAAATTTATCTAATTCTAATTTAAGCATTGATAAAGCTTTCCATTAATTAGATTACATGCATACCATATAACAAGCACAGACGTTTAATAAATGTTATTCTCCCCATCCCCAGTAACCCTTCATACGTGGGCTTAGATGTACTGCAATCGCTAATGGTTACAGGGAAAGGGGGGAGAATGGAGGGAACAAGAGGCAACCTCAATTTGCTCCCTTATGAATGTGAATAGGGTTTTAATTCATGTTGTTTATGCGGACAGAGGCCTGATGAAAGGCGGTGACAGGCACAGCATCTCCTCCTGGTTTGGGTATAACAATTATTTCTGATGTGGACCAAGCACTTTGGGAGGATACCACTCTCAAAACGTTATTTAACAGCAAAATTAAAGAAGGCATTAAAGTCTCCTGAAAAGCTTTATCAAAAGTGCTACCAAAGCCGTCTGGTCCTGATGTCGCCTTATGTCCCATTCGAATTCCTGAGCAGTGTTGGGTTTGAGTGTAAGTACCAGCTTATCTTTGCTAATGGCACGTCTTCATTGGCAGACGCTGCTTGGCATATTTCGTCAGTGGCGTATCTCAAGTTCCACTGGCCTTGGGGGGCTTCTGACAAATCCTATGGCCACTTGGCCAGCAAAACCGAAGTAAATGATTTGGAATTTTGCTTGTTCTTCTACTTCCTCTTTCCTTTCATGCCTCTTAATTTATAAGCATAAGAGAAAGGACTGCTCCTTCTAAAATCTTCATAAAAATGCGGAGAAAATTGTAGGACCAATAAATAATAACAACAATTTAATCTTTATTACACTTACACATTGCCTTTCTTTCAATTCTTCTTCTTTATTCCATTACTATTTAAAATTAAGATGACAGGAATAATAATAATACCTTACCTGTTTTGCATTGGCCTGGAGAAGTGCTTCCACCAGATCACTCAGTCTGGGGTCTTTTACTTAAATACCACTCTGGTGGTCGAAGTGGGTGAATAAGTAGAGGCTGAAACCTTTCTGTATACTCACAGTGCCCTCTTGTGGTGGCCAAGTGCAGCGCTTCTGCCAACCATGTTCGCTTGAAACCAGTTTATAATATAAAGCAACAAACCTCGTTCAGGAATTGAATGTTGGGCAGCCGTTCTTTGCGCACCGATGTGGAAAACCTCTGCTGCTGCTATCTGCACATCAGCTTGCTGTTAACAACTTCATGGAGAAATCTCTGCTATGGGGATTTAAAGACAACGTCAAGACAAATGAGGACCAGATCCTGGTTAGTCTTTCGATATAATACAGTGGTGCTCATGTGTGAGTGTCTGCCTCCTTCTACTTACTCTTGCAGCACTTTCTCATGTTCCAGGAGAGCACCTTCCTCCAGGGCTAGGGTCTCGGTCACAGGAGGGGAAAAAGCCTTTACCAAGACACTTAGCCAAGAGGGCAGAGTTCCATAGGTCCAGCAGACAGAATCTGTCTAGGTCCAACATGTGATGTAGAAGCAAAGTCAGGAAATGGTCCGCAGTCGATCACACAGGGAGTTCAGGGGGGTGGGGGCACCAAAGCCAGGAACAAGGAGCCAGAGATCTGTGTTATTTCTGGCAACTGAAAGGCTCAAAGGGCAGGAGAGGGGTCTTATATACTCTGGCCTCCTAAACCACACTCTAACCACAAAAGCTGGCAGTGAAGGAGCATCAAGGCTTTCACATTCACAAGTAGACTGGGGGCTCTGGTTCTATAAATGCAAGCTGTATCGTTGCTCTTCAATCTGGACCAAAAGCTTTTGGCACCGGTGCTCTTGAGGACTGGGGCGGGGCAGGGGGCACTTTCACCTCCTCTGACGGCTCCAAGGGTTCTTAAGCAGGTATGTCACCAGGGGCCCTCCTCATCACTTGTTCCAGGAGCCTCTGCCTGCTCCTCAAGGCCCTCAACCTGTGGGGCACCTGGTTTGCCTTCTGAGGAAGCTATGTCTGCCATGAGGTCAGGACTAGGCATGGCACTCTCCTGCTACTGTGAAAGGGGGACTGGACAGACCCTCCTCTGTTTCTGCACAAGGAGAATGGCTTCCTCTGTTTTCATAACAACACCCTCCTCCGCTCCATGTTTTATTGCGAATTTCTGCTCTGAATCAAAACAAAGGGCAAAAGGCCATAAAACTGAGCTCTGATATTCAAAAGAGCTTCAGAGGCTTGAGTCCTGAGAATACCTGCTCCCAAATGAACCCTTACCCTGCCAGAATAAATGAGACTTGCACAATGGAGGGCAGTGCCACCTGCAAGAGATGTTCCTAGGGCACAAGCACACGCCCTTCACTTGGTCCCACATGCTGAATCAACTGTGGCCTGCTTCCATGTGGTGTGTCAAAATACCCCAGGCCTGCCCATTTGCCCTTAACCCTTCCCCCAAAGGGACTTGCCAGGCAGACTTTGGTCTAGCTTAGTCACCTGGGTTGCCATCCCTTTGCCAGAGTGTTGCAGAAGGCAAGGAGCAAGAGCTGAAGCAGGACAATGTGCTTCTTTAGGGTCAGCCTCCTGCTCTTCCTGGTTCTTCACTCTCAGGTAGGATTGTCCTCCAAAGAGCAAGCGAAGCGGGGCAAGTATCTTTGGTGTTGTAGAAGGATCTTCTTGGCATTAATGGTGGAGAGGCTGGGTTAAGGTACCAACACGTGAACCAACCTTATCACACCAGGCCTGGGCTCTTCGTCCAACTAGTGTTTATTAGTAGCAATTCCCCAAGGCTCCAGGCAGTGATTCTGCTGTGCTGCTGAAACCAGAAATCCTTAAGGATGGCAGCGGCTGGGTTTGAATCTGGGAATTCCTGCATGCAAAGTACAGGTGCTGTCCCCCAGCTGTGTTGCCATGGCCTTGTGGAAGAGCTGGGGTGTGGGGATAAAGATGAAGAGGAGCATGAACAGAGTGTGGGGGAGATGTGACCACTGAGTGAGCATGGGAATGTTACTAGGCTGAGGAAGGTTTCATAATATTGGGCTTGTGTCTCTCTACACTGTACTCTACTGGCAGCATAGTTGTTCAAAGCAAATAGGTTTCGAGAAGATAAGAGCAGTTGCCAATGTTCCAAACTAATGTTGAATCAGCAAACATGCACTTCCTTTAAAAACAACCACCAGGGAGCACCAACCTTTAAACTGTAAACAGGGACCTTGAATCTTCCATGGGCTGCAAAGCATCTAGCCTTGCAGAGGGATCAGATAACACAAATAAGGCTAGCCCAAGGGGTCAACAAGATGGTGGCCATGGGTGTGGGAGCCGTGGCAAGGCCTCTTGGCCCATCTCCACTCTCATCAGCTCTACCCTTGACTACTGCTCAATAGAGGCTGCAAAACAGACTGGTTGCTACCTGTGGCAGGTCCACAGATGAAGTGAAAGGACTTCAGGTAAATAACAATAATGCAAACCCAATACTGACATTTAAGATAGAAGGAAGATACTCTTGACATAGAGGTGTGTCCAGATTCCAGGACGTGTCTTCCTTCACATGTTCCAGGATGGAATCCTGAGGTCCAGCACTGTCCTGTCCCGAGATCCCTACAAATCTTAAGGAGTGCCAAACTTGTCTTCACATAGAAGATGCCATGGGATTGGGCTCTGAATGAGGGTTTTTTTAAAAAATAATGCAACTCTCTTTTCCCCCTTGTAGGTCTCCTTCCTATTTGCTTGGGCAGAAGTGCTGACCTTTCCAGAATCCAGACTTGATCTGATGAGGCAGAAAAGGGACTTGCAACTTCTGCCTCCAATATTGGTCATGGAGAATGGCATCGGTCCCTACCCCAAGTGTCTGCTGCAGGTATAGACAGAGAGGGCAACTGCCTCTTTCTCTTCATGTGCCTTGAACAGCTCAGAACCACTATGCTTGGAGGACTTCTTTTCCTCCTATGAACCTGCTCAGAATCCCTCTCTGTGTTCTACCTCTGAGGAAGGCATAGAGGGAGGCAACAAGAAAACAGACCTTCTCAGTTTTGACATGTTCATTTGCTACCAGGTAGGTAAAGATGGCATGACTTTCTACAGTGTCACTGGGACTGGTGCAGACAGACCTCCTCAAGGCATCTTCATCCTTGAAAGAGAGACAGGCTGGCTGATGGTGACCATGCCATTGGACAGAGAGACCAAAGACAAATACATTGTAAGTCCCTTTGTGCTAGCTTCTGCCACCCTGGAACCTCCCAGCACCTCTTAAAACTGCCTTTGCCAACCTGGTGCTTTCCAGATCCTTTGGACTACTGCTGCCATCAGCCCAAGCATCATATAGCTGTGCTGGCTGGAGCTGATGGGACTTGTAGTTCAAAACTTCTGGAGAGCACCAGGTGGGGGAAGGCTGCTACGTGTTATGGGGCAGGGAAAGAGTGGAAATCACATGTTTGCTGCTGCTTTATGTCAGTTCTTGGGCAATCCCCGGGAAGCAATAGTATTAGCAACCATTATTTATGGGAAAGAGGAGAAAGTTCAGCTTAGTTTCATTTTTAAATTCTCAGCATACAGTATCTAAATACTTTTTAGCCCCTAATGTAAATTCCTGGGTGCTCTCGGTGTGAAGAGAAGGGCAGCTCTACACTCTTGTCTGGGAGGGTGAGAGGCAGCTTTGGGGAGTGTCTCAATTGCTACCCTGCTTGCTCTGCAGCTCTTTCTTCACGCAGTAAGTGCAACTGGGCAGCCTGTGAGGAACCCCACAGAGATCGTCATCAAGGTGCTTGATCAGAATGACAACAAGCCCCGTTTTACCCAGAGCATCTTCCATGGCTCCGTAGCAGAAGGAGCCCCGCCAGGTACGTGTCTGTCTGTCTGTCTGGTTGCACATGCATGAACGAACTGACTGTATGGAAACCCCTAATATTTGCCTCTGAATGCCCATATCCTTTGCCCATTCTTTATGGAAGGAGAACCCACAGGGGGAGGGGGTATAATATTGTGTGCAAAACCCAGGCCCCTAACTGTGCTTCTTTCTACCTGTATGGCCTGGGCAGTCACTATTGAGCCCACCATAACTTGCGGACTGGCATAAAAGCAGTGCAGATCGCACCCAGCTGCTGCACAGTTTGCATTCACTCAGAGGCTAAGAGGTAATTTTGGAGCTGTCTGGGGCAGAGTCAATTTGACCTCCAAGCTGGGATGATCTGGCTATGTTGCGGGTATGTGTGTGATGCACTTCAGAAGCTGAACTTTGGACTTTTGTGGCACACGCACCCAGGTACCTTTGTGACACAAGTATCAGCCACTGACATGGATGATGCTGTGAATTCCTACAATGGGGTAATCACCTACTCCCTCGCTATCCAGACCCCCACAAAGCCACAGAGCCAAATGTTTGCCATCGATAATAAAACAGGGGTCATCAGCTTGAACAAACCAGGACTTGACAGAACGGTAAGTGGCTGGGTCCTGGCTGTGTAGGGAGAGGGCATGATTAATGATGCTAAATTTCCCCTTTGAGGCAACCCTTGGCTCTGCTGCTGTGCTTTACTCCTAGTGGAAACACTGGGCCATAAGGCACTGGTGGATTAGAGGCTAGCTGGGGGGGGGGAGCAGGATGGGGAGGGGCTTGCAAGGGATTTCTGAAAGAGAAGAGGGAAGGCTTTGAGTCTGGAGCAGATGAACAGCATGACTGCCACCTTCCAATATCTGGAGGGCTGTCCAACAGAAGATGAAGTGGACATAAGCTGTACACATTTAAAGCACATGGCTTCCTCCAAAGAATCCTAGGAACTGCAGTTTGTCTGTGAGGGGCAAACTACATTTGCCCAAATCCTTTGGGGGAAGTCATGTGCTTTAATGGTATGGTTTGCAAGAATTAAGCATTTTCTTTTCACATTTTCCTAATAATAAGGGTGGTCTACCACAGGCATAGGCAAACTTGGCCCTCCAGATGTTTTTGGTCTACAACTCCCATGATCCCTAGCTAGCAGGACCAGTGGTCAGGGATGATGGGAACTGTAGTCCCAAAACATCTGGAGGGCCGAGTTTGCCTGTGCCTGGTCTAGCATAACAGCTGTGTTCCATTTCAGTTTGCTGTATCTGGAAGTACCCTAGTGAGTTTAAAGTTTCCTCAAGTTACTTGGCCAGTGGGGCTCTCAGGATCTTATACAACACTGCTTTGCCATGTGGTGCTTTGATCCCCTTTGCCCAAATGCTAATGGAATTATTTGTTTACAGGTAACCCCCCAATACACTCTGATCCTGCAGGCTACAGACTGCTTAGGAGAAGGTCTTAGCACTACAGCAACAGCAGTGATCCAAGTAAGGACTGGGAACTCACAAATACTCCCGGGTAACCATGTGACTGCTCCTATATCTTCATTTTTGCTCTTGCTGAGGCATGACAGTATTGCCTATTCTCCCACAAAATGCTTGCTGCATTTTACTCCAGTGAGAAGTCCCAAGAACTTCATATTTTACAGATTAGGCTGAGTAGAGATGGAGATGGAACCCTCCCCCCTTGCCCTGAAATGAATTGGGCCCCTTTCTCATGTTTTCAGGGGGCACCCGGTTGAGCCTGCCCTTGTGGCACCAAAAGGGTTAAGACTTTCTGCTGAGTCATGACAGGCAGGCAGCCTGCCAGTGGAAGGCAAGAAGGAAGTGGAGTTAGAAGGGGCTGCATCAGAAATGCCCCAGAATGGATGAGAGAAACCAACTACCACAGAGGGACGGAGGAGGGAGACCCCAGGTGGTGAGAGATCCTAGGATGGTGGGTGGGCTCAGCCTAAGAGAAGGGAAAGCCTTCCTGCTTTGGTGTTTCATTGGGAAACTTGGCAAGGGGGTGGGAAGGTATATTTCTGGCAGCTCAAGAAAAACAAGAAGCTTGAATGCCACACTCTTGATTGTCTTGGAGAGTTTCCTGGCATGGGCCAGAAAGTAAAGGAACTCTGTGGCCAGGGATCAAATGTTTAAGAAGGCAGTGAAATAACACATGGGGCAGGAAGGAGAGCTGCCACTGTTCAGTCCCACCTTCTGGGTGGAGAGGGGTCATAACTCAGTGTTCTCAGGTTCATCCCCAACATCTCCAGATAGGGCTAGGAAGGACCTCTGTTTGAAACCCAGGAGTACTGCTCCGCCATGCTTAAGAGTGGATGAATGCACTTCTGTCAGGCAGGATTTCTGTCAAGGGGCTGGTGTTGTAAGGCACCTGCCCAGGTCCATCCTGACACAGCCAGTGGGGACCACTGCTGACCTTCATTGCCCCTGAACCTCTTCTGCACCTTCATTACTTGCTCACCTGCCCTCTCTGTACAAACAGTGGCAGGCACTATGTCAAGCTGCAGGGCTACAATTTGGGCAAATGAATGGGCAGTGTGGACAGCAGCAAGCAAGCAAGCAGGGTCTGCCGAGGGCATCTTGTCCTTAACCCCCCCCCCAACAAAACCCCTCACCCTGGAGCCACCAGTTTGTGTCTGAACACACAGCTGGTGGATGGGTGAGAAGTGGGTGGGGTGGGGTCCTCCCTCTCTCCCCACAACCACAACACCTCACAGAAAGCCCCCGTGCACACAGCACCTGGGAGAAAAAGCAAACATTTAAAAACAGGAAAAACTGCTGAGGGCAGCAAGAAAGAGCTTGGAAAATCAGGGCCTGCTGCTGAGGGTGGCAAGGACATCTTCCTTTGGGAATCGATGGACCTAGGAAACTGGGAGGGGGAGGAACTCATACAGAGGCTTTTGCTCCACCCGGCTCTCCATTCTGAATCCCAGGTGGCTAGTTCCGATGAGGTCCACCACGCTTTCCTGACTGTCCACGCACTGAACGTGCTCACCGGCCTCCCTGCCCAAGGCCTGGCCATGCACTTCTCTAAGCTGGAGGATCCCCAACGTCCGTGGGCAGAGCTCATGAGGAGGTAGGAGGGGATGAAGCCGGACAATCTCCCTCCCTCGGCAGGGCTGGGGCCGTTGCAGTTTCAGCCTCATTTATTCCGTTCCAGCAAGACAAACCCTGATGGGCGCTTGGACAGAAACAGCCCGATGCCCAGGGAGCTGAAACCTGGCACCTATAAGCTGCGCTTTGAGACGAGGGAGTACTGGGAGCAACAAGGATACAGCAGCTTCTACCCTTATGTGGAAGTAAGTTTGGTTCCCAGATGAAACTCACACCTGGAAGGGGGGGGGAGGCTCCTTCCTACATAGGGAGGACTGATGATGGCAGGGACCACCACTCACTGCCCTTTGAGGGATGTAATTCCTGGCAGGAGAAGCACAATGTTGGAAAATGGGAGAAATCAGCATAAACTTCACATTATGAAGGCTGCACGCTGTGAAGTCCCTCAGAAACCTGCAGGAAGAGGCCCAGGTGGTTGGTAGGAGAGCTAGATGTTGTGCATGGGACATCCCTGAAAGAGCACAAAGCCAGAAGTGTGCCAGGACTGGGCACTAGGGGTGCTCCGGACCAGACATTTGTGCCCCTGACAAATGTCTTCTCATGGGCTAGGCCCAGTGCAACGAAGAAAGGATCTCAGACCAAAGAGCACTACCAACCTCCTGCTATTCCCCCCTCCCTTGTCTTTACGCATCCTCTTGCTTGTCTCTCTATGTTTAGATTGTCTTCACCATCACAGAGGAAGAAAAAGTGCACATCCCCTTGCTGCTCAGCCCTTATTCCTACACCACCTACAGGGGAAGCTAGTGGGAGACCGGCCAGCAGGAGGGGCTGCTTCAGCAAACCAGGGTGCCTGTACTGAGAGAGCTGATGCAGTCCAGCGGATGGAGAGCTGTGGTTACATCCACGGCCACCTGTGGCCCAAGCCTCAGGCTGGGGGCTTGGCCATGAGCAGGTACCTCGTAGTAAATGTGAGAGTAATCTAAAGACTGATACTTGTAAGCCTCTTGTTTTAAACTGGAGATGCCATGAATTGGGTCTGGGTCCTTGACACACATGTGCTCTCCTGATTAGGTAGGGCTCCCTCAGTTGCTGGGGAACATGAGTGGGGAGAGGGCTGCTGCACTCATGTCCTGATTGTGGGCTCCCAGAGGCATCTGCTTGGCCACTGTGGGGAAGAGGATGCTGAACTAGGTAGTCCTTTAGCCTGGATCCAGGAGCCAGGCTCTTCAGAGGTTCTCACATCGGATGGTGCTTGAGTGGACACAACATAGGTGTGGAGGACTTTGGAGGCTCTAGATAAGGTGGGATTAAGTAGTCCAGGGGCTCATTAATCAAGAGGAGGAAGCTTTTCAAGTCCCCAAGCTCTGCCTTGACGTGGGTGGGAAAGAAAAAGGGAGGCTTTGCAGAGACTGAAGACTAAATAGCCCACCACAGGGCCTCTTTAATACAAATGAGGGCTGGAGCAGACACAATCTCATTCCAGGGGGCTGCTCTCTCCCTCCCTCTCCTCTACGGCCACAGCAGGAGCGGGACAGTGGCTTGCTTGCACACAAGGCTTAGGCTGAAGGCATTCCAAAGTATGATGTCAGGCTGTGCTACGTGGGGGTTGAGACAAACCCAGCAGGGCCCTGGCCCAGCGTGTGGCCGATCACGGAGGTCTCCAGGGGCTTGAAGCCCAAATTGTCCAAAGGGATCCCAAAGGCTGTGAGCTTGGCCTCGTACGTCCGCAACAAGTCATTGTGGGCCTGCAGTGGGAGGCAATTGCAGGTTGAGGAGAGGGATCAAACATCACATATCATAACACAGCCACCTAAGGCAACTTCTCATGTCTATGCTCTGGTAATAGCCAGCCCAATGCACCCATGGCAGTGGCGGCTGCATCCATATTTCTCCAAAAGGATGCAAGAGAGCAGGAAAAGGCCAACTAAAATGGTTGCAGGCTAGACCATCTCAAGGAACAAATGCTTAGAACAAACTTGTTAACTTAGAAAAATGGGGCTGAAGGTGAATATGATGCAACTTGGTAGGTCAGATGGAGCAGTGGCTAGTATAACATTTGTCAAACCCATCAGCTGTTCGCTGAAATGAGTAGGCAGTGGGCATTAGAAAAGACAGAGGAAGTACTTATTCACACTTCTTGGCATTAACCTATGGAACTCACTGCCACAGGATAGTGAATTCCTGCTAGCATAAATGGCTTTCAAACAAGGCATAAGTAAAAGCCAACTGCTACGGAAAATATATTTCCTTCCCGGGTTGTGTCTAAAGAGACCTGCTCTCTACATTTTGCTCCAACAGACATTCAAGTACAATTATAGGGTTCTCCTCAGCTGGAGCTCTTACCTTGCACACTCTGGCTAGCTCATACTGCAGATCCTTGATGGCATTGTTTTTCGAATCCAGCACATCCTGTGAAAGGAGGTTGTTTGGGCGTTAACACATCAGGCAAGTGAACTGGCCCACAAGGGGACTAGTCAAGGCCCAGCCAGAGCTTTTGGCCTTTCTTAATGGGCCATGACAGGCCTATGCAAAGTTAGGTCCCCTTCTGCAGCACAGTCTCATGCTTGGCTCTTTCCTTTCTGCAAATTCTTCATGCTGAGAGTCCTAATCTGTCTGTTGTTGGCTTCCGTGATTTCATTAGGCAGTGCCAATGTATTTCCAAGCCTCTCTACGGCCATGAGGTTTAGAAACCTGCTTTTACAAAATCAGGTAAAACCCAAGATTCTCATGGGTGCTGAATTTTGTATACAGTACTGCATCCCACACTTGGCATAGCAATCACAGTGGAGCACTCCATCTACAAACAGGAGCTAATGCGCCTCTTGCCTCCCTGCACAATTTCCTCTTTGTGACTCAAATTAAGGCTCATCTGCGTTGCCCGCCAGTAATGGGAGATGAGAGCTGTGGGCTGGCATTTCTGCCACCAAGCCATTTTTTGCCCTATTTGGCACAGGAACTGGTGCTACAATACCCAGGGAATCCCCTGTGGATGTGCCTCCTGCGCAAGCAGCAGCTGAAGGTAGGAATGTGGGAGGCCTGGTGGAAGGAGCAGCTGCCCCTGGGAAGAATCTCCAGTTACTGGCGCCAGCCGTGCTTGGAATGTGGAAGCCGCTAACTAAGCCCCCTTCCCAGGCAGGCCAAGTCACGGGAGATAACTCTGTTTCCATACCATCAGGCATTTCAGACAGGACAGGAAGCCTGAAGAGTGAGGAGGCCACAGAGGTCCCTATGATGGAGAACCTCCCTTGGCTCTTGGGGCTGGAAACACAGAGAGGAGGAGCCCTGGCAGTGTGATGGGCAGCCCCTACTCCCTAGAAACAACTTGATGTGCCAGGGGAATGCTTTGAAAGTGCAGATCGCCTTGCTGTGTACCAAGGCGCTGCTAGAGAGAACCCAACCTTAGCAAAGAAAGCGGACAGCTAGGAAATCAGCAACCAGGGAAACCCCGTGGAGTGGAACGAGTTGAGAGAAAGCTGTGCGGCAAGCGGTCCCCAAGCCATGCTTGTGTGGCTAGAAGGTTCTGACAGTCCCAAGTGGCCGCAGGGAGAGAAGGAGGGAGGCAAGGAACCGAGAAGGCAGCCAGGAGCTCGTTCTCTCTCTCCCTTTCCATCTCCGTTGGAGACTGAGCAGCAGAGCAGGAAACACCGCCCTGGCAACAAGGGCACATTGCCGCTTCAGTTCTCACAGTTCTCATGCTGCAAAGGGGCACGTGTGCTCTGTGTACTGAACGGATTCTGGGACCAGAATAAATGGCACATAGGTTCAGCAGATTTGCATGTAGATTTCCAACTCCACCAGCCAGAGGGAAAAGAAACTGAAGTCTCTGACCACTGGAACTTCCCCTTTCAATCTGGCTCCTGCACATTTCCCCAGGCACAGCACCCTCATGCCAAGTGTATTCTCACAGCCAGAAGCACAACAGACACTTGCTGACTGCTTGTGCATTCTATGTCCCAAGAAAGCACCAAAGAGGCTCAGGTCAGATAGGAAGGGAAAGCATTCCCCAGTAGAGCAATTCACCCCACCACTGGTTCAGTCACTGCTGCGAGGGTCCCTTTTGCCCACAGTACTGCCCATGTGACTGACTTCTATAGCTGCTGCTGGAAACAAACACCTCCCAGCAGCTTCTAGCCAACCCGAGGCAACTGGAGGCCAGTTGTGTGTGTGTGCATTCAGAATCTGCTTGGCAAATGGAAATGTTGGTACAGTGGTACCTTGGGTTATGAACTTAATTTGTTCCAGAGGTCCGTTCTTAACCCAAAACCATTCTTAACCTGAGGCGCGCTTTCGCTAATGTGGCCTCCTGGTGCCGCTGGCGTGCAATTTCCGTTCTCATCCTGGGGCAAAGTTCTCAACCTGAGGTACTACTTCCAGGTTAGCGGAGTTTGTAACCCAAAGCGTTTGTAACCCAAAGCATTTGTAACCTGAGGTACTACTGTACATGCTCTGATTGTTTGGAGGGCTGAGGCAAAGGCTTTTCATGCTTGTGGGCCTCTTGTGCATAACTAAGGGCAGCTCCTCTGAAATACTGCGCAGGCTACACTTATTAATTGCCCCTGAATGAGGGGGAGTGCTCAGAGAAAAACTAACTTCCCCTTGTCAGGTTGGGCAGAGTCTCTTATTATAGGATGGCTCCCTGCACTTGCCCACACCTTGAGCTCCTGGCAGCTCCCTTTTAGCCAGTGCACCTTTCTCCTGTGCATTGCAAGGTTTTACCTAGATCTTGCCTAATCCATCCTGGTAATATGAAACCCAGGGACAAACCCCATCTGAAACAGCAGCAAGAAGGAATCTGACCAATTGTTCTCATCTGGCTTGGGAGCTGTTTGTTTAACTGAAGGGTATTAGAAAAATATCTATAAACTATCTCTATAATCCCCATGGTGATTAGAAGCACAGTACCTCCAGCTTGCGGGTGACCACACTGAGAGCACCGGGATCAAGGTTGGTGGCAGCCAGGACCTCGTTGAGCTGCACCTCCTTCTTCTCCAGGATGTTGGAGAGGCCGAGAAGCTTCCGCTCCAGCAACAAGTTCTTAAAGCCAGTTTTCTGCTGCACCTCGTTAATGGCTTTGGTAAATTTCTGGTACAGGTCATCTCGCTCGTCCTGCACCTGTGCAGACAACCATCAACCCCAGAGTCAAAGAAAGCACTGCTCTGAGCCTTGGCACAGACTGGGTGCTCCATGAAGCCCCTAAACCAGGTATTCTGTCTGTTAATAAGGCGCTTTGGGTTTTGGTGTGTTTTGCTTGTCCACTGTGAGCACATGGGAAAGGCCTGGAGATCAGTGGTGGAGCACATGCTTGGCATACAGAATGTCCAAAGTTGCATCTCCAGGGAGGGCTGGGAAAGGTGAAGCCTTGAGAGCCACTGCCAGTCATTGCATAGACAAGACAGAGCTGCATGGACCAAGGGTCTGGCTGTGTATTTAGGCAACTGTCTATAGTCCTAACATTCATGCGTAAAAGGCTTCTTCAAAAATAAAAAGCCAGCTATCCAATGACAACAGCTGCCCACGCCCTCTGTCACAAACCAACACAGATGAAAATATGTTGCAATGATTCCAAAAGTTGGGACTTTAGTGAGTCACAGAGGGAGGAGCAATGCAGAGCTCTGAGGCAGCCCCTCAGGCTATTAGGGAAGGCAGTGGGAGCTGGAAAACAGGGCTGGTGGTGATTATCCTTTCTCTCCCAATGCACTTTGCAAGGATCTGTGGGGGAGGAGGGATGGGAGGCAGCCTGACCCAATTCCTGTTAGTAAGAGACCCCCTCATTAAGATAGGACCACTGCAGCCAGTTTTCAAAGGCAGCTAATGAGGTCTCAGATCAATGCTGAATGGCACGCAAACCTGTCCCCATGTCTTAATGAGTTATACTGAAGAGAGCCCCTCCCTTCCATCCCCCCCCCTCTGATGCGAGCTGCCCCTCTCCAGTATCACAGTCCCCACTTCTTTAAGTCATACTGATGACCAGACCAGACCAGCAGTAG